TATATATACACATATATCTATATAGATAGAGATATATAGAGATATATATCTCTATCTATATAGATATATGTATGTGTGTATGTGTGTGTGTAATTGCTGCTAATAATGCTCTGTTAATTTCTCTCCCAGTTCTCATTTCTGTGTCATTTTCTAAAATTGTTATAGTTTTTTTTTGCTGGGGATAATATGAGAGTTTTGAAGACACGTACATCAATGGAGAAGCATTAAAACAGGGTTAAATGTCTGTCTTGGTTTAACTTCAGAAGATCCTTTTCTTGACCCAATAACAATAGTCCCAAAGACAGTAAGGGGTCTATTTATAAACAATTTGCAGAAGCATTGGCCCAAAACTCTGTGATGTTCATTCTGTTCAATGTTCAAATGGATGCACAAAATAAATGTTCTAGTTTGTTTTCTTATGTGGTATTACAAGATGACATTCGAAAAATACATTTGTCCTATAAAGAAAATATATCAGATTGTTCAGCTCAGCATCACCCCATTCACTAAGCTAAGGGACAATTCTCTTGCACAGTAAAAACTCACTTTGCTAAGTGAACTGCCTATATGCCATTAGTTAATTGACTCAGCTAGCTGTGTCTACATTTTGTGGGCCTCAGTTTCTTTAGGGAACCTTGAGCCACAATAATGTTCTTCTTTGTTGTTGTTCAAAATGAATTTCATACATAAAACCGTTATGCATTGCTAAGCCCTTAATAGAAATCAGAAGGATGTTACCCGCCATCTTTTAATTTATGTAGCTATGAGGTAGGGATGCACCGATACTAGTATCGGTGCCAATACCGAGTATTTGGGCGAGTACTTGTACCTTCCCCGTTACCGGAACTTCCAATCAAGGGAAGATTTCTTCTGACTGACAGTGCTGCAGGGGAACATGGAGCCGGATTCCCGGCCAATCAGGAACCCGGGCGGCGGCATCACCTGCATCCTGATTGCTCGGGAAGCCGGCTCCATGCTAGCGGAAGTACTGGTATCGGTACTCGAAAGATAAATATCAGTACTCATACTCGATGCCGAAAAACCAGAATCGGTGCATCCCTACTATGAAATCTAGCTGATGGCAATAGCGTGGTGCCAGGTTTAAAATGTATTTCTCTTAACACTTTGTTCCTTCACTATATTCCAATGATAAAATAATGGAATAAATCCTACAACACAGATCTAATGTTCTTGCTGCCACCATGTTTATTTTTATAGTCCTTCTAAGATTGTTAACATCATGATGTTCAATCCCTTGGAGATATTGGGTTTAGGGGATTCCTATCACTGTTTTCGTGGTATTCCATGTAAATCACACATAATGTTACTATTAGAATTTGATTTGCTTTTTATTTTCAGCATAATGGAATCATAACTATCATATAGACCCTACAGTATATTTCTAGAAGGGATTCAGCCTCAGCTGGTACACTTCTGTTCTCTATCTGCCTGTGCTGCTGTAGGATAACTGTCCATTTCTGGCATGTATTGTGAACTACTGATCTCCCAAGTTCCTGGCAGTAAGGAATAACTAGAATAGCAGGAACCACTACACAGGCACATTGTAATGTAATAGCAATGGTCAATTTGTGAAGTCATGCACAGCTGAGACACTTGATTAGTGTTGAGTGAACCAAGCAAAGTTCTGTTTCCTGGAAGTTCACCAAACACTTGAAACAATCTGTGAACCTCGAAGAGTGATGTTCCCCCAAACTTCTTACCACACCTTTATCTTTGGTAAAGTCTCCTTGTATGTTACCCTACCAATGGGGGCATATGCTTTCTGTCAACAAGGCCACATGCCCAGATAAGAGTCTGGAATGGATTTTAGGGGAGACCCCACACTTTCTTTTGTTTTATTTGCCTGAAGCAGGTGAAATCTGCCCATTTAATTTGCATGTTCAGCGATCCTCTAACAACTTGGGTTTGGTTCTAACTGATGGCCAACCCAAGCTTAAAGTTCATCCCTACTCTTGATCACTGTAAAGAAATTATTCCATAGCAAAAATAACACATAACATACAGTATATACTTTAATCTGTAATTTCTACGCTGAACTCTAGGCAAACAGCTAAATAAGCAGATGAAACACGTGCAAGGGAGGTGTTTTGCCTTACAAAGAATTTGTATTTACTTAACACAGCGCTGTCACCCCACACAGCCCTTTCTGGCAAGGTAGGAGACCTGATTTTTTTTGCTGCTGTTCAGTAACATTCATCTCAGGGGCGTCCCGAGGCTGGGTGACACCCGGAGCGGTAACCGAGTGTCACCTTATGCACGTCATTCTGATACCTGCGAGTGGCCATCTTGGTGATGGCCGCCTGCAGAGAGAGGAGGGGACAGTCACCTGGTGGGATAAGGTATGCCGCCGGGTCCCCTCCTCTCCCCTGATACTGTCGGGCGTTCTGTCCATGACCGAGCACCCGACTTTTCAGAGGGGGGTGACACCAAAATGACCGTGAGTCATTTTGGTGTCACCCCTCCAATGGTGTCACCCGGGTGCGGGCCGAACCCCACTTGTGACGCCACTGATTCATCTCTCTTCTTTCTGTCACTTTATGCTCTCCTATCAGCATACTCCATGCACTGTATTACACCTGATTGTCTCCTTGTGCTGTTTATCCCTCCCCCTCTCTGAGCTCTGCTGTATAGGCTGCACTGTGGACTGCAAGGGGCTAATATTACACCACAAACAGTTACTTACAAAGCTTGCATTTAAAAAAAAATATTTTTTATGTATTAATCTTTAAAGAGCTGCATTAAATTGAGCCTTTCATAACTGCCTGGAGTTGATCTTCAAACAAACCAGAGCAGCAATACAGAGGTAATCAATTACAAGCTTTTTGAAGTAATGGTACTCTATAGGCTTAATTTTGGAGTAAATGGTCAAGCTTCAGTAAACCAAGTGTGTAAAGTAATACAAACCCTGCTGTTGCTTATCAGGGGGCCAAAGTGGTGCACATAATTATGCAAATGTCATATGTTTCCCAGAAAAGCCATTTGAAAAACTGATTGAATGATGAAAGCACTAATTTTAATTTATGAATAATTACTTAACCAAGCAGGGCATACGACTGTGATCTTAGGTTCATTTCCTCTTTTACTTTAATGAATAAGTGTAACCAGAGGCGTATCTACAGATAATAGCACCTATGGCAAGCACTGAAATTGCACCCCTTTCCATAAACTGACATTCATATTTTAGATAAATGTATCATAATATCAACTCAATAATATAAGTCAAACTCACATCGGAGTCCCTCCTTACATCAGGGTCTCCAGAACTCCCCTTGTATCAGAGTTCCCAGAGCTCCCCCTTACATGCGAGTTCCCACATCTTCACCTTAAATCAAACTCTGTAAAGGGGGATTGCGATGTAAGGGGAGACTCAGTGCCCAGAGTCCCACCTTACATCAGAGTCCCCCCTTGCATCAGAGTCCCTCCTTACATCAGACACTGATATGAGGGGGGGGATCAGTGTCCAGAGTCCCCCCTTTTATCAGGGTAACCAGAGTTACCCTGAGCAACCCCATTTACATCCGAGTCCCAAGGACTCGGATGTAAGGGTGGACTCTGATGTATTGCGGGACTCTGATGTAAGGGGGAATTTGGGGACTCTGATGTAACTGGGGACACTGGAGACTTACATCAGACTTTCCAGAGTTCCCCCTTATTTGTCCCTTGCAGACAGTAGCTTACTTGGTGGTGATGGGTGGCTGACTGAGGAGGGCGAGCAAACAACCATCAGTGGGGTCATTTAACCCACTGTAAGCTCCCACTGTCATTACCCCTGTTGCTTGTTAGTTAAACTGCCAGGCAGTCTGCTGTCTCTGTAGCTCAGTGAACTTTCGCTGACCCTCAGAGCAGCACCCACCTTCAAGTGGCACCCAGAGTGCCATATGCGCCATGCCCTGGATACACCACTAAGTGTAACTGTTCCATTTATACAGTATAGTATAGGGATGCCGAGCAAAGTAGCAGTATAATCTCTTAATTCTTCTTTTACTTTCCCAGGTCCTTTAAAGGAAGCCATCATAGTCACAAGTCATTGTAAGGATTTCTCTGTT